AAACAATTTGCTAATCTCTTAAAGAAAATACAACAAATTAAAAGTTACTTATGTTTCTCATAATTGTCGAGAAATATAATTTTCAGGCAATATGTTACAAGGTAACGCAGTTTACACATAAAACTTCTTAACCTTGGATGTATCACTGGTGTTGGCACTTTTCACGTCGAAAATTCATGCGTTTCCACAAGAAGAATCCAGTGCGCCGTGGTTGCAAGCACGTATCGTAGGTATCCGCTTATGTACACCGAGCACGACGTGCCAATATCCTTCGACCGTACTACGCGGCTGGTGACGTAGTTTCCACGTACCAGACGGTAAATATTAGATCCCGTACCGTCGTTCGCGTTTTTGTAATCATCCATCAAATTTTAAAGTACCGTATTTCATAATGGCACAACCGTGCCATGCATTTACCTACGTCAAAGCTTTTAGATATGGATATCTTACAAAATGTCTATCTCGATGCGATCTTGAAAAATTTCACAAGAAAAACAACTATGTAATATGTACTTACATTATCAAAATTAATTAAAATTCTTAATTAATAAAGATTTATAAGAAGATCTTACAAGAAGTTCTTTTATTTCGCGAGATTCCCTTATCAAACGATAATAACTGGAACTACTAAAGTCTGAACACAAGAAAAATGTAATTAAAGTAATATACAATCTAAATATTTTTTAAAAAGTTAATTTGAAATTAACCAAGTTATAAAACCTAATTTCATTAATTTATTAAATTAATTTCGAATTAATTTTTTTGATCAAACGTGGCAATCTCTAATTTAAGAAAAATGAATTTCAATTAAAGACATTCAAATGAATTTCAAATTAAAGACCGACTTCTTCGATTATAAAAAATAAAATCCAAAATATCCAAAATATTTAATAAATTAATAATTTTTGATGGATTTCTCTAGAAAACAATTGATTTAATTAAATTGCAATTCTGTCCGCTAAAGTATGTATATTACTCATATGTATATTAAGTCGTTGTTATTATCATAATAATAGCGAAAAAAATACAGGATGTAATTGAAATAATGAAAACTGAAACCCATTAACTATACAATACTTCCTAATAAAAAAATCGAAGAGTCCTCTATCATTTTGCAATTTTTAACGCAATAGTTAACGAGATATTAATTTCTAAATATTATTGAATAAATGGATAAAATCGATATGTATAAGACAACAATTTTAAGATATCTTTCCGTGAAATATTTTGAAGATTTTTTTTAAAGAAACTCTCAAAAATATGCTAAAGAATCTAATATGTTAAAATTGTTTTATACGTTGATTTTAGATATTTTACTCATTGAGCAACTAAAAAAAATATTGCGAAAATTGCAAAATGGTAGAGGATTTTTCATCTCAATTTTTTATTAGAAATAGCACTATATGATTAGTTATTTCAGATACACCCTGTATAAGAATAAATCTATTAATATTTATAGAACAGCGAAAAGTTGGACAATCTTCACTTCTAGAAAATGTAAGACATTTATAGCTCTTCAACACTAATTTGACGTTGGTCTTACATTACGATTGTATAGCTAATTAAAGATTAAAGAAGGCTTTCGCCGACGCCTCCTTGCTTCGCTTTCCTGCCGGCAATAGAGAAGGTTAACATGACAGCGAACAGAGTCAACGTATCGAGAACCGATCTTTCGCAAAAAGACGAGAGCTGCACGTCGTTTATACTCGACGGGGTTAAGTAAATCTCGTCCGTTCTGCGGATGACAGTTGGCCGCTCCCATCGCGCGAGGAAAGATGATTCCGCGCTGGTCTCGATCGGTACCACGCGTAGAAAGTGGAATAAATCGATGAACTTTCAGGCCTTAGAACATCGTGACCTGCCTTCAATCGGTGTAGCTCACGGCTAGAGTTATCATATCTGAAACACGAGGAAAAAGTATATATGTATACTTTTTAAAAAAGGTGACCCGGGAGAGAGAAGAGGTATAATTTTTCATGCGTTAAATGTCGATATTTAACCTCTTCAAACTCTTTATACATTGTATAAATGTATCAAATTTGAAAACATCCATTAAAATTATTTAATTCTATCAATATTATCTGAAATCTGATGTAGATATTAGGTGTAGTAAAAAGAAATCTATTATTTTTGCATGAAATTGAATGGAAAAATAATGGATTTCTTTTTACTACACCTAATATATATATATATTATATATATATATGTTGGAAAAATAGCCAAAATTTTGAAAAATGAATTATTTAATATGAATTATTTATATTGCGCATGAATTATAAATTAAAAAAAAATTTTTTAACATGATTCTAATAAAATCAAATTAGAAGGAATTAATAAAATAAAATTTCTAGACCATAACTTTTTTTGATAATTAATATAATTTTAACAAACGTAAAATTTTAATTAATAACCAATGATTTTAAAAAGAGTACATGTATTTTTAAAAGAATACGACTGTTAATTCTAGCAGCTGACTATGTCAGCTATTCGTGGTCATCATCGAAGATACTTTCTTCTCATTGGCTTTTCTTCTCTTCTATTCTCTCCTTTCTTCCCTGCAAACGATGCGAGTGCACTCGTTCTCTCGCACCTCACCATACCGCGGCATTTATTATCGCCTTTCACTATTTGACGATCGGTACGTCGCCGTTGCGTGTTTCTAGCACGACGACTTTGCGAGGTATATTCGCGCGCGAATAATGAAATGCTGCCGTGAGAATGCGAGACCAAGCGATTTCCGCTTCTCTCTCTCTCTTTTTTCCTCGCGCAAGTGCATGCATCTTCGATCTGAGATTATTGCGATCGGCTAATTCTCTTCACACACGTGGATCGGTTTCTTAAATTCTTTAATCCATTATGAAAATCGAGCAAACGCTTCGTTCGTTAAATTGGAAAGGCTTTCTCAATTTGTTTAGGAATACAAATAGGAGCAACAATCTCAATATCTGCGATGCAAATAAGTATCGAAAAGATTAGAAATTACGTTCTTTGCTTGCTCCATGCACTTTGGCGTACGTACGCATTGCCGGATTCAAGTAGAAAGTTGAACCCACGTCATTGCGCGCTATGTGTGATACGTAACCCGAGATTATTGTCTCGTGGCACGACAATCGGAACGATTAATCGCCGTCTTTGTGAGAAGGGTTATCGACGAAATGTTGGTACAAATCGTACCTGATGACCCTTGACCCCATAACTTACAACATTGCACCCATTATCGCGTCAGGACGATAAGCCGTGCGCTCCACTGTAATTTATTACGAAAATGTTTTCCCCGTCCAATCACGAGAGCCGCGAATAATGTCGACCGAACTGTACGACCCTCCTCCCTGTCGCGCGTCGACAGAGAAAACCACATTTTTATTAATTACATTACTTCCTCTTTATTCCTGCTCATAATATATGTTTTTCAAATTGTGATACTTGTAGTATCATCGATTTGCAAATTTGATTGTATAACACGCGATGCGAATAAATCTAATTAAATAAAAGGATTCCTATATTCTGTCAAAACGGATCTTAGTGCTTAAATGATCTGTGTGAATTTAATATACATATATGATTCTGCAAATCGCGCGCCGAATTTTTTTTTCTTGAAAAGCAATCATAAGCAGAAACAAAATAACAATATCATTTATTAAATTGACAATTTAATGATTTTTTTATGCTAATAAGTATCCTTATAAGAATATTAATAAAAAGATGTTAATAAAAATCTTAAATCTATAAATAATTTATTGCGAAAAATTGTCTCAACTTTAATAATTTTATAAAGATGCGCATATTAGCATAAAAAATTATTAAATTTCTTCAATTTAATTAATATAATCATATTACTACTCTGATTCTGCTCATGATTGCGTTTTAAGACCGAAAACGGTGATTGCGGCGCGCGATTTGCAGAATTAGATACGTATATAAATTCAAACAGAAATATCTAAGTACTAAGATTCACTTTGATCAAATATCTTCTCTTACTTAATTAAATGCATAAGATAAAATTATATATATATTCATATTAAAATTTTGTTCTTTATAATATATAATAATGTAATAGAAAATTTAATATAACAATAATTTATTTTTAATAAAAATATATTTAATCATTTTCTATATTAGTATCTTAAAAGCATCTTAAAATCATTTGATATCATTTCTGTTTGAGCAATTTTGTTTGAGCAATTTTGCAATCAATTTTTATTCAATGAAAATATGTTCACATATTTTAAGTAATATAATATTTTACGTAATATTAAATAAATAGAATAAGAAAAAGATTGTGATTTTTTTTTCATTGCACACGATTGTTAAACAGTACTTTTAAAATGGTGTGTGTTGTAACATTAGAAAAAAATCCACTGTTTGTTGAAACGAATGTGGCATGCATATGCATTTGCCACCAGTACGCACGATTGCGGGGCGTACAGCCGTTTTTTCCGCGTTATTGAACTAAGCGCACGAATTATTTTAACAGAATTTTATTACGCGAAACCTGTATTTCGGTCTTCTATATCTATATACATATATTACACTTGAATGCGACCTACTAAGATAACGAGCTGCAACTCTGAGACGTATGTTGAATTTGCTCGGCTCCTCCAAACCCATTAATTAAGATTCAAGCGACGCACCGCGTTATGTTTATTGATTAATCACCGACATGGCGCATCCCGTCGATTGGACACACTGCTATTCGATATCGATAACACACGATAAGTTTGTATATGAATTAATTGAGATAACGTTACTTATACAATTCTACTGCGAATATAAGCGCGCGAATGAATAAGTCTTTGAATCACTCGGTATATCAAGTTACGTCAACGAGAATATAAAGCGATATGTGTTGGACTATAAATTCAAAAGACTTCAACGAAAAGATAAGAATTTCTCAAGTTACATCAAGTCCTATTTTTAATCGATATTTTAAAAAAAAATCGTTTTTTTGTCATAAACTGTCGTAATAAAGATAATTGAATTTTCTTGTTCGTCTGTCGCAGCAGGTCAACATCCTGGCAGCGAGGACAAGATTCTCAGCGATCCAGTCCTAGTCCCAGCAGACTCCGTCAGGAAGCAGCTACATCTCACACAGCCCCCGTTTCTGTAAGTTAAAGGAATATAATCAAAGAATTGCAGTAATTACATAATCAAGAATTATATGTAATCTTATTAATAATTATTATATAATAATTATTATTATATTTAATTATTATTAAGTATAATTATGTTATTAAAGTAATAATTAAAATATAATAGAAGAAGTGATTACTTAAAAAGAATAAGTAATCTAATTATGGTGGAGCACGAAGTGCTTTCCGAGATCAATACTTTAATCTTGAAGAAAAAAAGAATAATAGACGATTCATTTAAATAATCAAACTTAATTATTTGGATGATGATATAAAGCAGGAAAGATAGAGTTGCGTTTTTTTTATTCAATCGATTTGCGTGTTGCATTTGTGTCTAAAAATATATGATATTTTAAAGTAAAGAATATACCGTAACATCTCTTTCTTGGGCTTACTATATTTCTATATATGTATACATATTGTATGACGTAAAACCTGCGTCTTCTCCATCCACTCCTCCCAGAAGAGTAATATTATTTTTTCTTTAATGAATAACAATGGCTTTATAGCATCTACGTCGGATTGGCTGTAACGATGCAATATTACTGGTGAACGAGACGGTAAATAACTATTGATAAATTAACTGACCTGTCAGATATAACATTATTTTCTCCGCATATTTATTTCTCAGTCATGTGTTACGACCTAAAAATTTGACTGACTATTTTTGAGTCAATACATTTAAGCCAGGATTGGACAAGTTTTTGTAATCAAATTATTAAAAAAGAAAATTGAATTTTTATATTTAATATAACACGAAATTACTTCCTTTAATATTTTATTCTTCTTGTTTTATATCCTTAGTTTTTTATCAGAGACGTAACAACTCGTTCTGCATTACACATATAGATATATGAGACCTACAATTTTAAGACCAGTTTCAAATGACCTATATTAGAAGAAGCTGCATCCATCCTTTCAGAGCACTATTATACCTATTTATATATAATACCTATTTATTAATGGAAGATTAATATTTATTCAAATTATTGAAATGTAATTACATTTGTCAACAGCAACAACTTATTTTATTCAAACTGCAACTATACTCAGCAAAACTAGCTTATTTAAATTGGAGCTGTTTCCATACTTTTCGACAGCAACAATTTACTTGCAAGCTATTTAAACTTATTTCCGGTTTATTTTAAACAATTTCTGAGAAAAAACAATCAAAAACAATGATCAAAATTAATTCAAACTGAAAAAAATTAAATTTACCTTTACTGTTTCCTTAAAAATTGACGTGCTACGTCAATTTTAAATGATTGATCATCACGCTGCATGGTGGAATCATTGATGATTTTATTTATATTTGTTGTATTATTTATTAAATATAACATGTATTTCATACTTGTTTAAAAAAATTATTATAAAAATTATTATAAAGAAAAAAGCCTTATGGTTTGCGGATTATCATCGTGTCGTGATCCGTTGCTAACGCCAATGTTTCGTGAACCTTGCCGTTTACTTCATCAGGATAAAATATATATATCAGTGCGCTCCTCACTCTAATAAAATGAATGGCAAGATTCACGAAATGTTGGTGTTAGCAATGGATCACAACACGGATGTGATGATTCGCAAACCCTTTGACACCTCTAAAGAAAATACCCGTGAAAGTCTTAAAAGTATTATTAAAGAAGTCTAATATTTATATTAGATCGGAACAAAAAGTTCATTTTGCTTTCAGCAAAATTTCAGTTTTAAAAATCTATTTTTTTAAATTACAGTATTATAATTTTTAATGGAGTTATGAGCAATCACACAAGAAGCAAAATGTTTTTATTTAATCTGCGATAATTCAGTAACAGAAAGAGGGGGAAAGAAGGAGAGGAGGTGGGGGAAGGAAGGAGGGAAGGAGGGGGAGAGAGAAAGAAAATCTTAGGAAAATTTTTTTTAAACAATTTTATAAGGAAAACTTTAAACATTTCAATAGAAAGTCAAACATTTTTGCACAATTTTTTTTTGTTAGATCCACAAAGTGAGAAGAAAATGTTTGTCTTTTGTGTTTTCTATATGTAAAAATGACCAAACATAAAAAAGACAGGGATCTTTCGAAAGTAGAGATAAATTTCGTTCATTTTAAAAAAAATTATAGCTATTTGAATTTTGAAATTCATAGCGCAACAAATTTATGTTCCAATCTAAAATGTATCATGCATAATATATTATAACTATGTATTCACGTATGATATCAAAATTATTTTGTAAAAATTATAAAATATTAATATATAAATTATAAAATTATTTTCGTTTCTTTTTATTGATAAAATAGCAAGCGACCTGAACCACAAGTCCAGTGTGAGTCACCTTTGATCCACATAGCATGGAACGTGTTAAAGGATTACAAATGTAGTTTTAACAAACTTAGACCTTTCACGCAAAGGTATATTTGAACCAGAACTGTTCTGTCGATTTACTATTTTTCTGTTTGCTGATTCACTGTTTTACTATTACAATCGGATTGATTAGTTAACTGAAACATTACTGATTCGCTGGTATTGATAATAGATTGACAAAGATTGATTAAAAGCTAAGCCTAATTGTTCTGTCTCTTAATATGTATGAGAAAGGCGAGAACCCTGTGTGAAGTTCTCCTATTATTTCCTACTTTGGAATGTCTTTCTTAAGAGAGAAAAGACTAAAATGAAATACAATAGAATCCCACATTAATATTATGTTGACAGTCTAGGTCATTATCTCTATTAAATTATCATCACTCTAATTATTTTTAAAATAACAATACATTATGTTCAAATTCAATTAGTAATTTTTTAGAAATATTTACAACACATATATATGAGAAAATTTTAATTCTTAAATATTATTAACCCTCCAGCATTCTTAATACCTTTTAAAAAGCACAATCAATATTATGTTTTCTCAAAATTCATTCAGATTTGAATATGTAAAAAATAAATAAAATATAATCTTTAGTTCTTATTACAGTAAAAACTTATTATTAAAGCTTTCACAAGTGTATAAGATTTTTTTAGATTTTGATGTAATCCATAAAAAATATATACTGTTTTCCTCAACTGCCTAGAGCATTTTTAGAAATTATGATCGAAAATTTCGGAGTAGTGGAGGATTAAATATATAAATAAAAAGAAGAAATTATCTTAAGTTACAAAAAATTTCAATACGATAATAATTTTATCTTTTTTTGATAAAAATTCGAGAAGTATAGATAAATTTTCTTAATTTTTAATAAAAATTCATTTTTTCAATTTTCTTAAAAATTAACTATTTGAATATAATTCAACAATTATTTTTGATTAACGTAAAAGAGGTTTTCTTTTATGTTTATTCTTACATTGCAGAAGGAAAATTATTCGATTAATAAAAATGAATTACCCGTAATTATAATAAATACACAAAGTGAGCGAATTAATAGCTAAACAACAATAAATTATGAATTAAATTGGCTCTGTTTATCGATGCAAAACCATAAATTTGTTATTATAGAACTCTTGTGTTAGTCAAGAGACATTCCAAGGCTTAATTAAACAAACTTCAAGCGATGCCGCTAATCTTCCGGTCTGCACGCTCGATAGACGTGTAGGCCGATGCATGTCGTCGATTTATTTTATACACACACACACACACATACGCGCGCGCGCGCGCACGCGCAATAATTAAATAGAGAATCTTTTCAATTCCGTCGATAACCTCAGTTGACCGACTATTAATCTTCAACTTGAACAAGTATAACATACATGTTCGTTTTTCATTAGTTCATAATTTCTTCATTGCAATGTATGATGACTTGAGGACTGCTCGGTAAGAACTTAATAGACTTTGAGACTCGATCACAAGATTTGTATAAGAACTCTACCCGCGTTTCTGAAGCTAAGGACTAACATATTGTACTTAAATTATTAGCGATTCATTCATCGCTGGCTATTTTTCTCCCTAAGACTATTTTCGTGACACCGACATCGCGTAGGGACTCGTTTAGCTGACATAATATCGACGATTTTCATTCGACGAATCAATCTCTTCTAAATACGTGGTGCAGCAATAAAGTTTAGTGAATATTATGAGAAAATAAATATCACTTAATTAATATAACTTTTATTATTCTTCAAAATAATCTTTAGAGATAATACGTTTTTTCTGACGTTTCTTAACATACAGTTTATGGAAATTCTGTGAAAAGTCTTTTTTATACATTGCCTTAAGTTTTATTGCATGGTTTTGAATGTCTGAAATGTTTGTGAGTCAAGTCTCTTTTTAGTTTAGAATAAAAAAAAGTCTGCTGGAACAAGATCGGGGAAATGAAGTGATTCAAAATAATGATAATACAACATTGATTCAAGAATTGCCATATTACACATTTTGAATCAGAATTTAACTCTATTAGATAGAACAATATTATAATTAAATCATAATAATATCATGACATCATTTGATTAAAAATGAACTCAAAAAATGAATTTATACAAATAATGTCATGATATTTTATAATTATTATGACTTCTGTGTTTTATTTATAAAACTGTATGACAACAAGATTTAAAATGATATCCAAAGATAATTTTTCACAGAGTTTCCGCAAGTTGTACGAACGTTATCAAAAGTGCATTGTCTCTAAAGAGAATTATTTTAAAAGACAAAAAGATCATTTGTACATTAATTAAGAAATACTCTGTTAAAAATAAAATAAAATGAATTTTAACTCGAAGATGTATAATGAATTTTCTGAGACAAGCAAAAAGCCCACTATAAGTTAAGTCGTTAAGTTAAAATTAACATTTTATTTTTAACAGCGTAATTTGTACATTAATTAAGTAGTATTTATTTTCTCATAACATTATCGAATTCATTGCCACATCGTACGTATTCGCGGCACGCGCGAACTCCGCGCGATGGCTCGCTGTCGTAGATTTCCGATCCGAGTATAATTATCGACTACACGGAAGCGATCATCGATCGGCGACACGTGAGTAATGACCCCAATGCCGGTGACGTCTCGACGGTAGCTGTAGGGATAGGGATGCATCACGTTGCACGCGACTGTGGTATACCGCGACCAGCTTGCGACGACCTATATGCATCATTCGCAGCGACGACAGTGTGCTCGTTAACATCCGACGTATCGTGTCGAACTGACGTTATCCACTGCGCGTTTATAATCAGAAGGAACGTAAAGTCCCACGTTATACACGTTACACTCTTGCGGAAGGTGTAGCTGATAATTTATGCTCCTAATGGATGCTTTCCATTTGATGATACAAGTTGACACAAACATCATTCTATCTTTCTTGACATTCAGTGAGTATCGGAGATAGAACGACATTTGTATTGACTTGTGTTGACACCAAATGGAAAGTATCTAATAATGACAAAATCGAGTGAATATTTCGATTATTTTAACGGGATTCTAAAGGCATTTTCGATAAGAACTTACACAAGATTTACGTGTCATTGACATCCTATCACTATCTAGCTAATCTTTTATATTAGATATCTAAGCTTAATTCTAAGAATTTAACATTGTTTATTCATGTAATCCCTAGTTCAAACTAAAATCAAATTTAACATTTTATACATACAAAGTATAAAACTTGTAGGTGTATAAAACAAATATTTTGTTATGAGTCGACGCCAAAATCTGATAATAAAATGTAATCTTCCAATTTTTTTTTGTTTTTGGCATATAGTGACAGTTTAGTAGGTAGTTGAAAGCTACCTACATTATTGTTTATACTTTAATTCTGGAAAAGTATTTTTTTTTAATCTAATAAAGGCAATTAGAAAAATACTCATTTGAAAAATATCGGTAAAGCATAGATGATTTTAGAATCTCCTTAAACGCTGTATTCAAAATAGAAGATTGGAAAAGAGAAGACAGGACAGTTTAAATTGACAGATTCTTTAACAGTGAATAACTGATGAAGCAAATTATTTGATGAAAATGCCATAGATTGAGATTATATTTGACAGATATTCAAGTTTCTTGGAGCACGAGAATGTTAAACGAAATTTCCATCGAAATAAAAGCCAAGTGGCACGATCCAAATTTCCATAATTTTCCGTTTGAATCGAGTACGATTATAGAGGAACGGATTTGAGGGATGTCGGCGATAGAAGTTCGACCGAGCGGGATTTATCTTCTCGGTATATATGTGTATATCTATATATTCATACATATCTATATACACATATATCGTATTAGATTTCTCGCCGCGGGAATTTTAATTAGTAAAACGTCGTGCGCGGTGTCGAGGCAGCTGTAAAGATATAATCAACCTTTGTGACACCGTTTGCACCCTTCCATTTCCCATCTAATTGCGGAGACATGCGTGAAAGGATGGGCAGAAACCGCGAAATCAACGTTTTCGTCGATTACCGCGGATAAGGTGCAGTGATATACATTGGGGGCTGCGGCCGAGTAGATCGATAATTTACAGCCAGACACTGTGAAAGCGACATTTATTATTCGCACAGGTGTTTTAATATGCGAATAATAAAGGGATTATTTTGACTTCCGATAAAAAAAAATACCATTTAATTCATCAGAGAAATTTATTATTAAACACTTCGCATTTTATAATTTATTATTGCTCGTATTTCCACGTAATTATTCTTTATAGTCTCTGCATAATAGAGTCATAAATAAAATCCAGTTCAATTGTAATTTACAATTTGTCAATCACGGCAAAAATACGCGAGGAAGAATTGTCGATAGGATGAACTGTCGATTTAAAATAAAATCGGTTGCCTGATAACCCACTTAGTAACGAAGCTTAGCAACATAATATTAGACCCTGGTAACCTGGCTAAAGTACGTTCAATACTGATACAAAGATACGAATGATCAAGCGCATTCGTGCGTACCCAGTCGTAGGAAAGATATACATACGTAACGCAACTTTCTCGCGAGGGTTATCAATTATCATCAATAATATGTTGCTACGTATATCCGCGTACTAAAAATAAACGTGACCTTTTTTAATATATCGAGATCGGTATGTACTAGCAGATGGAATAAAAGAAATTCTTTACTGACAATGAGAAACAATATTATTTGGAGATTATTTGGACGAGTATTCGTATAGTATTTTATTATTCTACATTCCCAGTCAATTAACAATAATATTAATATTATAATTTCTTACTTAGCAATACAAGTGCAATAGTTTCTGTAATACATATATATGTATTATTGAATAGAAAATTATAATACTGAATGTTACTTTATTAATGAATGTTATTTATAATACTGTAATGTTACTGTTAGTTTGTGTTTAACGGATTGATTATGTTAACAATTGTATTTTCAATTTTTAACATTTTATTTCAGCCTTTGCATGACTACAGAACGAGTGGCCACGCCGGAAGGGAGAGACGACGAACTCCTGGTCTCAGCAAAGCTCAACGGCGGATCAAAGCGTCCAGCACTCCGGCGCTTTTGGATAGAAACCATGACAGGTACGCAT